AAAATAAGGTAAAATACGTTGTCAAATATATATATATATATATATATATATATATATATATATATATAAGCAAACAAAAACCACGAACGGTCTGTTGATGTAGGTGCTATGGGAGTGCAACGATCATATGTGACACTTCGTTGGACCCGCATAGCAATGAAAGTATAACAAAACTAACTTTAAAATCAGAGGGGTCAAGTCGAAAAATTCTCTCCCGATGTTGACCTCTTGTGTAGTGTCCACGAGGAGACAAGGCTCATTTCGGCTCAACCCCCAAACCTCGAGGGGACTAGAGCCTATCTCGGTTCAATCGCCACCTTAGAATCATCTTCGGTTGAACTCTCCCCAACTCCAACCCCCTTGCTCAATTACCATGCGGGTCATCCCGACAATCTTGTGCCTTCGGGACATAATCAAGCCATACTAATTCATGATCGATGGCATCAAGGCAATACTAATACACACCACTATCATTATTACTGTTAAGTTGAAAATAAAACTTGCATGATTTAGTGACAGATACGTATGATGGTTATTCATAATATTATATGTATAATAAATTATAAGCATTGATGGGAAGACTATCAATGCTCATCCAGCAAGGTGGTGACGGATTATATTTTTGACACCAATCATAGCCTATTAGTTGGCTGTCATAGATGAGCTAATGTGGAGGACGAAGGCCCGATCATCCTCCCCCCCCACTTGACGGTAGGGCAACGACTTGTCGGTCATCATGGATGATAGTCTATGAGGGGCAGTATGGGCCAACCCTGGCAACTACAAGGGGTAGTGGTCCTCGGGTGGTCGAACAAACCTACGCCCCACTTTTGTTGGCCTCTTGACAGGTCATAAGGAGCCGCTTGAACGAACCTTATTAGTCGTTAGGGACAATGGTCCCCGGGCAATCAGGTAGGCTTCCCTCCCTTTTTGTCAGCCTCTGTGGACAACAGGACATAGGGGAGCCACACGGACCAGTCGTCCACATGGATAAACGACAAAAGGAGAGCGTCCAGATAATCACAAATGATCCCTGTCGACCGCTTAGGTATAAAAAATGATCTTGACACTTACTCAGGGCAGATCTCCCGCACACAAAACCTTTACGTAGGATCACAGAGAAAATCAAAACTCATATCGAAAAATCTACATCGACACGGATTTTTGTGTAGAATTACCGAGAAAATTGAAACTCATATTGAACGCCGGAAGATCACTTCCAATTCACGTCAACCACCTCACTCCCGTAGTGATTGTTCCATCCGACCGTCATGAGAGTCACTAAGACGATTTCATGCCTTCGAGTCAACGCCATCTCAGACTCCCTGTCGACGGCATCGAGGCAAGGACAGGTGGGTTGCAGTGTGTTAAGGACAGCGTATCTATATGTATACTTGATTTAAGTACGAACGCGTACAACTCAGAGAGATTAAAGAATGAATAATGCATATTAATGGCAAATATAGGAAAGAGCACGTTGCCTTTTCCGTCTCCCAACGAGTGGATTCAAGTGGAACCCCACCACCCCCACATGGGATGGCGATCTCCGACAGCCTCCGCTCTCTCCCATCTCCTGTGCAGGGCGGCGTGTCCACCACCTCATCATACAGAGAAATCCGTACACCACAGTGGCCCCGCACGAATACACAAGCCTCATTCACCGCCCATCACGACCGTCCACCGAAAAACGACAAAAGGCGTGCGCGGATCTCGAGGCGCAGTACGAAAAGACACCTATGGCCGGGGTTGCTCCACGTGGTACCCACACTGATCCCATTGCTAGCTAGTATAATACGGACATCGGGTCTAATCAAATGGTGGCGGTGTGGTGGTGATGGGATTACTTAATCTAACCATGTCTTAATTTAGTGTTCTTCGTGTACTTATGATGTCGTCTGCTTGCATCTGACAGGCTGCGGTGCTCATGGCGATCGAAAGCCCAAACTTTCTTGCTTTCCTCAAGTGGTATGGTTTGCTCTTCCGAACCATGATTAGCTGCAGCATTACCTGCACCTTTGACCCCTTAAAAGTTGTCATTATGTTAAGACAGGATTTGCGCTTCAATGACTAAAAGCCACATAGAAAGTGCATTGATAACAACACTATACGTATTGATTCTTATCAACAATGAGATGTTAAATTGTTTGTGCTAAAGAAGCTTCAATCTAAACATAAATTATGACAAGAGAACTCTTTGTAAAGTAAACGAGGACTGATACTGTGACATCAAACTAAGAACTTTGTGAAGGTCCACCACATGAAAGCTGCCAATTTAATATTCTCCTCTTGGTGGGAAGCAAGTCATCAGTTCACGCTATCAAAAAGTGTAGCAGTAGTAGTAGTTAGCAACTTAGCATAGCAACTAAAGAAAAAGCAGAACATAGCTTGTTAGGCTGCTGTGGGAATTGAAGTGCCACTTTGGTTGGACAGTGGCCTAACTCTAATTTAGTAAGGTTGACAGTTAGAGCTGACCTTAATGCATCCTTGTTGTTAATTAAGCAAACTTGTCTGTACCACAATGTACTCGAGACTATTCAAGTGATCTAAGTTAACACTAAGACACGTCTCCTCCCTCTTTGATTGATCTATAGTTGCAATATATGTAGTCTATTCGAGGAACAGTAATGACAAACACAAGTACTCGGTTATTACTTTGCGGACAGATGTGGTGAATACTTTGGGAGTCGCGCGTGGCACCTTTCAGCATGCCAACTCCTGTAGCAGACGAAGACAAGCTGCGAATGGGAGCGTTTTCATGTGACCAATTGACCTGCTGCTGCTATCTACGGGCGTTAGGAAAGTCCAGAAACAGATGACTTGGAGCACAAACACTGACGTGATTGGTGCGGAGACTGGAGATCAGGCCATGAAATGAATGCTCTTAATGCCAGCAAGCACGGAGAGGAGCGGGGGAGGAGGCTACACACTACAAGGAGGGAGAGAGAGAGAGAGAGAGCGACGGTTGGTCTCGCAGAGGACAGCCAATCCGCGCCACCGAACCTTGCGCGTGTCGAGGACAGGAAAAGAAATGGCGGATTAAAGATGGGGGAGGAAGGGTTTTTTGTTTGCGTAGGCAACAAGGTGGGAAAAAGTGGGAAGAAGTAAAAGATGCTCAGGAAATGGCAGTAGACCCCAACTCGTTTGAGTGCGAGACCCTGACAACCCAACAAGAGACTTGGGAGGGGTGTGTGGTTGGCATGGAGGGTCCCCCGTTCCTCCTCCTCAATCCTGACGCGAGTTCTTGCAATCCCTCAGATGCCAGAGAGAGAGACGAGAGTATGAACAGTCAGCGAGCGGCATCCAGCTAAGGTAAGGACGTGATAGATTCAGAGACGACACACGTACACGGATTCGAGCCTACGGTAATAAATATTGCCACCGGTTTGTAGCAATAATTACAAGGGACAGGACGAGCTTGCAGGCCGTGGGAGGAGCGAAGTATGACGCTGTCGGTTGTTCCCTGCGGCAAACCCCCCCTCCCCTCTCTCTCTCTCTCTCTCTTGCTTGATCTCCACCTCGGAGGAGACCCATCACTATTTGCCCCCGTCTTGATTTGATGACCAAGAGGTGCAACGACAGCCTTTTCCCCCACCTTTCCCCTTTCCACGAACAAAATGGCTGTTAGGACGCCATATCCCCACAGCACTTGTTCCCACTCCCTTCTAATCTCTCTTTTTCTCTCTCTAGCTCTTTTTTGGCCGCTCTATTGCGCACCCAAAGCATCCATCCCATGGGACGCCAATTGGTGCTGCTTTTAGTGCTGCACTTGCGTGCTTAGTCCCTCTCGTCTCTCGTCCTTACTTTTCTGAGTGAAGTAAAAGCTGGACTAGTGACCCTTCTCAGATTTTTACCCAGCTGTGATCTGTCTTGTTTCCTTTGCTGAATCTTACCGATCAGCTTCCTTCTCGGACGGATGCATCAAGTAGGAGGTGAAGGGATCACAGTCGTGTTATAGGTGTGCAGAGTTTGAGTTTATGGAGTTTAGGAATCCTGGTGAGATTGGGATACCTGCCTCCTCCTCCTCCTCTTCTGGCTATAAACCTTCTCTCGTCAGAGGAGGATCTGCCTTTTCTAAACCCACACTCTTCCCCTCTACCTCTTTTGTCTCCCCAAGAGGAGAAGGAGACGCAGGAGGCGCGGGAGTTGGAAGTGGTGGCGTTGGAAGAGGAGGAGCAAGAAACGGTAACATCCTCGGTAACACCGAGGCACTACCACCACCGACTCTTGAATCCACCCCCACAGCCATAGATCGTCTTCCTCAGTCTCTTGGGAAGAACGCAGATCAAGCTGCCATCTCCAACTCGTCTCCAGGTGCTGCTGGTGTGGGTCTGTTTGCAGACAACTCCAAACCGACAACCATCGCTAAGACTTCGACCATCACCGCCGCCACCGGCGCAGCTTATATCTCCACCAAGTACAAAGAATGCCTTCGCAACCACGCGGCCGCCTTAGGCGGCCACGTTGTCGACGGCTGCGGCGAGTTCATGCCGAGCGGCGACCCCGACACGCCCGAGGCACTGAAATGCGCAGCCTGCGGCTGCCATCGAAGCTTCCACAGGAGGGAGACCGACGGCAGCGCCGGCACCGCCAATTCCTACTACCATGGCACCACTCGCCTGCCCCTACTGCTCCCGCCTCCCCATCCCCAAGCGCACCCCTACCACCAGCAGCAGTTCCAGCTCGGCGGCTTCTCCTCGAGTCCGTCGGCGGCCGTGCGGGGGACGTCCGGCTTCGTCCACTTCGGTGGTAGCAACCCCAGCGGGAGCGGAGGCACCACCACGGAGTCGTCGAGCGAAGAAAGGTTAAACACTGCGACGCCGACGCCCACAACCATACCGAGGAAGCGGTCCCGGACCAAGTTCACCGCGGAGCAGAAGGAGAACATGTTGGCTTTCGCCGAGAGGGTGGGGTGGAGGTTTCAGCGGCAAGATGATGCAATGGTCGAGCAATTCTGCGCCGAGATTGGCGTGAGAAGACAAGTCTTAAAGGTCTGGATGCACAACAATAAGCACACAGCAGTTAGAAAGCAGCAGCAGCTGCAGCCGCCACCACCGGAGGAACAACCAGTGCAACAGCCGCAGTCAGCGCAGCGCCTACAGCAGTAGTCAAGAAGGTGATGCCCTCAGCTCACCTTACTCTGCTCGGGGAGGACTCCTGCAGACGACATGGCGGAGGAGGGGAAGAAGACGTGTCGGGTTTGAGCTTGCTTTCCTCCTCATCTCTCTAGGTGTTCTTTGCCGACTCAAGCATCGATCTTTATGTTACCATCTGCATTAGTATGCCACTTGCGATTATTCAAGCTGCAGCCAACGTCAAAATCGTATCACTCATTCACAAAAGCTTACAATTACAAGTCTTGAGAATGAAACTACTACAAGCTTCTGGAAAAGTGGCCTGCTATGTGGTCGACTAAAGGACCTTATGCTGCTCCATCAAAGACTTCCTTGTTTCTGTTATCCATCGGTATTCTCGTGTTGTCGTTTGTCAACATTTCCAGCTTCTCGGTTCAGAAATGACAGCACATAACACATGCCGGTCTCCTGCAAAGAGCAGAAAAGTCGACATAAGATGATGGCATTCCATGCATCCTATGGATCCATGAGTTCTAATACTCTTCCATGGTCGTCATTGTCCTCTAATACCGTCGCAACATTCTCTATCATCTTGACTGCAGCTGCTTCCTATCTTTCTAGCTTACGGGATACAGATGACAACGGGATGGGATTAAGATACATGTAAAGAATGCTCACTGCATTCTGTGCTTCCTTTCCTTTTTGCGATGCAGTTAGCATGCTTTTTTCCTGGAGAACGGTGTTACTAAGCTACGGGAAAGGAAGCAATGCATGCTCTTGCTTGGTAAGGTCAGATACTTGAAATATCTATGGCACTATTGCTTTAATGCGATAGTCTGAAACATGTCTTAGCATAACTCAAAGCTAACATTTTATAGAGAGAAGAAGAGGTCATAGTTTCTTGTCCAAACCAAAGCCAAACTTTTATGGATGACATCTTTTTCCCCTCTGCCATATGTTGTCATATTATGATATCAAAGCCATCCATATGTTGTATATTGGCTGAGATTTTGTACCCCTGAGTTGATCTTGACATTTATTATCAATATGTACCTGACATACCAGTAATGTTTAGATATATAACTCATGCGAGTCCCACAGCCATGTCGAGTCAGTATCAGCAGCACTATTGGGCAGCTGATATATTGCAGAATGTTGAATAGAGTGCATTATATTTCTCAGATCTAAGATTCTTTATAAAACAAAATTGTGGACTACAAAAAGTATATTTCATTAGACTGTGATCTAATTGGAATACTTATTTTAGGACTCCAAAGAAATCAGCAACCCTTCAGTTATCTGGAAATAAAAAAGAACTATGTGGTGAGAAGTGTAGAAAAGCATGTCAATTTCAATGGGTGGCTGCAGAAGTAGACATTTACAAGGGTTCAATCTGCTATCAGACAAAATGTACTGACACAGAAGGTGATGGATTTGGTGAAACATCTGGAAAGATATTGTGAAATCAAAATAGTTATCCAAAATATATCAAAGTTAACTGAAATGAAAATTTTCATCCCATCATCCAAAGATTGAGGATAGTGTGATCCATCAGCCCTCTTAGTCTTCACTTACTACTTGTTAGAATAGTGTTAGAGAAAGAGAAGTGCTCTTAATCAACACCTTCTTCTTCCATTGGAGAAGAGGTTCTTGAAATCAATCCCAAGCTTGGAGTACAGTGTGTGCATATTAAAATTGTTTGTCTTGGAGCAAAGAATAACAATTGTTTGTCTTGAATGTTAATATTTGATCATGGACAACATGGATGAGATATTTTATTTGCATTATGCATCAAACTTTTGAGTGAAAACTGCAAAAGAAGATAAGGCCATTTCAACTCAAAAAATGAGCATAATGCACATAGTAAATTTGCAGCCACAAATCTAACTACAGAATTCATTCATCACTTCTTTAGCAAACCAAATCACAACAAAGGTTACAGATAGTTCTCTCCTTTTATTCATTCATTCATACAGAAAAATCTTTTATAATCTTGCCTATGAGTAGGTTGAGTATAAGTTGAGACCGATGAGCACATTCACCTCAATGAACATGCTATCTGTAGGAGCTTAGAAAGAAAGCATGGAAACAAATGCTGGCTTAGCATTTAGCAAGCTCAATGGTGATGGTTCTGCATACTTGCTCGGAGGAGAACTGAATACCCATCTCATAACATCTTTTTCTGAATGATAGCATCCAAGATGTGCAAGCACCAATAATTGTTGGCAAGCTTAATGCTCGAATCTTAATTGTTAGGGAAGAACTGTGGTGATGAACATTTTTCATCAAGTAACCAATAAACCCAAAAATCTTCAAGTTGTGTTGGGATTTCATCTGATATATATAGCAAACAAGCTTACCAATTACAGAAGGCTAGCCAGATATGTCTGTAATGGTAGTCTTCATCGACAACACATGATAAAAAGGGGAATGAAGCTTATACACGAGAGAGACTACTGCTGAGATCAAAGACACATAATCTTCACATAGTGCATTATGAGATCTAGCAAGGAGATTAACCCAACACACTTCACATATACATAGCTGCTGCCTTCTAGTCTGTGCCCCCAGTTGAGTTTCAATTGTTTCAACCTGCCAGAAAAGATAAGATAGAGAAAATTATGAAGGGAATAGCTCCTCCTGAACACTTCCATGCATCAAAATGTGCTGCAAAGAAGGACAGCAACCCTAAATGAAATTTAGAAGATTGCTATCAAAGTGATCCTAAAAGGAGAGCATCATGGAGTTCAGGTCAGCCATGATCATGGAAAGCCAGCAGCTGCCTCATAAGATTTTTCTATTGGTCGCGTACTATTGCTAGTATTTGAACTGAAACTTTGAGTAATGGTATTCGGAATGATTAATGGTTTAGAGTTGGGATTTCTGCAAAGAATAACCGAGAAAATACATCAAAATTCATGCTTGATTTCTGCTTCTCAAATTAGCCAAGTGTTTGATTTCAAAAACTACGAAGAAGATAAGAGTAGGAACAAAAAGAAATCTCAATGAACAGGGAAAGCACGGAAAACTCAATGGAACAGTGGATGGCAGAGGTGTCATGTACAGATACGTATACCTCTGTTGTTGGAGGGCCTGTAATAAGGCATTTGGCCTGCCTCGATGCGGCGTACGTCCTCCACGAGCAGTTCGTAATGGCGCTTCACCTCTTCGGCCGTCTTCCCTCCAACGGCGCGGGCGATCTTGTGCCAGCGATCGGGCGTGTCCTTGTCGTAAACCGCGAGCGCCTTCTCGAACGTCTTGTTCTCCTTTGCGGTCCATGAGGAACTCATCGAGCCGGACGCCATCTCAGGGAGGATCGCAGAGCGTGGAAGGTTTCTCCGGTGGCAGTAGATCGATATGGGAAAGGGCCTCTTCTTATAAGCCTCCTCGTGGGGTTACGATACGGGTGGAGCCAGCCATCGAAGAGGACCAGAATGGCCCGAGTAATGGTGGAAGTGGGAGAATTCACGAACGTATACCTCATCCTTCTTCCTTCACATACATGGATTCACGCTTCTTTAATCAGTGCATATAAGAACAAATTTTGTGTGGCGCTGGTAAGGTTTCTCTCTTATGCTTTATGAAGGGGCAACATCTGCATTTGCAGTATTGTTAGATCAGGAAAGTGATGCTAAACAGGTTGCGTACGACCTGTAACAAGAATTAAGATCATGGAGGTGCTACTGACAAAGAAGAAAGCCCAGCTGTTGCTTCCCGTTTGGAGAAAGGCCTCCGTCCTCTGCTGTATCCAACCCAACGTATCTGTCTCCCTCTTTCCCGGTCATGTCGACTGCAGCCTTTGGTTTACTGCGAATTCCTTCTCCGCTAGATTCTCCGGGGTGCCCCTTGTCTCCCCCCAGAGATGGTCCAGAAAGATTAGGAAGTCCTCGAGATCTTCTCCCAAGGACTGCTGTGGTGACATCATCTTCTCCACCAACTCGATCCTGGGGTAGCTGGGAAGGGGGCCAGTTTCACATGCATGTTATTTGGATTAGATAAGGTTCATCCATCCTTGTTAATCTATCATGGATCATGAATGGGAGGCCTAAAATAGAGCAGCAATCAACCTGAGTTGGGTTTACCATGTTAATCTAACAAAAGAAAAGATCATCAACAGCAATGGTAAATGTTTGCATCAAGAAGAGCTCATGGAATCCTTCACTACAGCCTTACATGGTGAATTCCAGCAAATGTCTACATGACATGTAGAACTCCTTTACATCAACACAGAAGTAAGTCATAATGTCCCCAATACTTCTAAGCCACTGACACACATAAAAGTAAAAGGAGTGCATCTCCTCCTATGACTTTGGAAAGGAGTTGTCAAGCCTACCATCATCTCCATTCTCAGTCATCAAGGGACTTCGACATACCTTTTTGTTCCAGTAGAATCTGTACTATCATCGGAGCTCAACATCCACAAGAAGAAATGGAGGCAACTTCCTTGGGATGAGGAGGATTATGATATAATAATCCTACCAATTAGAAGTAAAAAAATGTTTAATTTTTTTAATATATAAGATATTATGATAAGTACATTTATTTATTTCTAATAAAAACAACATAGCACACTAGATTTGGCACACGGTAATCACGTGTCTGGCACATGCTGCCATAACGATGCCAATAAGACAAATCCATCCGCGAGGAGCCTTCCTCCTTCGCAATCCTATCCTTGGTGGAGCAATGGCGACGAGCGTGGCGATGGCCTCCCTGCCCCTCGGAAGAGCCCTAACCCCATGGAGCGCAGATCGACGGCTCCGTTTCAGGTACAATATCCAGATCGAATTGTGAGCCGCTCCCTCGGGGAGATTCGTGGAGTAGGTTTACAGCTCTTCTTTGCTTCTTTTGGTGCAGATCGTCAGGAATCGCGTTTGCGAGCTTAGAACAAAAGACTTATGCCCAGGGGATCAAGATTTCGGAGGGGAATGGGGGGCTTCCCAAGGTCTCCCTGCTTTCCCCTCATGGCAGGTCAATCTCCCCCTTCTTCCTCATTTTAATGTTCAGATTCTTGGCATCAGATTCTAAAGACTCATCTTTAGGGCCTACTGCTTGGATTTGTAGATCTTCTGGTTTTGGTAGTTTTTATTATAAGGTTTGATGAATTATGCACTTGGAGTGCTATTTTAAGCAATTACGTTCTAGATTGCTTACGCTGTGATTGCACCAATCGACTAGTGCTGTTGTATATAAGGGGCTACGATGCTCGACGGTCACTGATATCTTTCAATTTGTGAAATTGGATATGCAATGCATGCGCGGGTGTTACAGTGGCTGATATGATACAGTCTTTGTGCAGTGAGGCTGAGATTTATCTGTTCGGAGGCTGCATTACATCTTGGAAGGTTTCGAATGGCAAGGACCTTCTCTTTGTTCGGCCAGATGCTGTGTTCAATGGAAAGAAACCTATCAGGTATCGATGATAGTGGTTCTTCTTTTGCCTATCATTTAGCTATACCTCTTTTAAGTTTATCTTTCCGCTTCAGACGTCTTAAACTCAATTTTCACCTCAACGGCAACCTTAGCAGTGATAATTCTTTTATTACTTACCTTAGCTTTGATATTTGGAATGAATAAAAGCTTGAACAACACAAAAGAGTAAATAATAATTTTAAAAAAAACCTTTGCTACAAGGGCTTCTACTTTTGATTGGATCTAGAAGACCTCTTTTTTCTACCATATTATTTTAAGAGATACATGACTAAAAAATAGTGTTTTTTTTTTTTTCAAAACAGTGGAGGAATCCCACACTGTTTCCCTCAATTTGGACCTGGCCCTATACAGCAGGTATAAAAGCCCTCTTTTATATTTCATTTTCATTTGTTCCTATAACTGACTTGTAGTATAGTTCTTCTAGAAAAGATTTGCTTGCATTTTCTTTTACTGACTTATAGCATCATTACTAGATCGACAAGCACTCACAACAATAAAGAGAATAAATTCAAGACAATAGGTCAATACTGGTGGTATCTGTTGTTTATTCCAATCTACTAGTGAACCCGTAAGGATGATCAACTCTTTGGAATATCTTTTTGGCCCCTTCTATCCTTTGTCTAATAGGTTTGTTGAGTACTTCCTTATTCAAGAAAGCCCTACGATTCAATCAAGGGCTTCAACTGGCTTATAAAGCCTGAGTTCTGGTCTCTGCATATAGGGTCATACAGACTATTCTGGTAAATCATACTGTAAAAACAATTGATTTTTTTGTGAAGTTTCGGATACTAGCTTAAAGACAATATTTTTACAAGATATCTAAAAATATATCTCGTAGGAGAAAGCATCCTGAGTAGTATTCATGTAAAAAATGATAAATTTCCTCCACTTGACATGCATAATACTCTAATTTCTGAACTGCCCCTGGACACCATGCGTTTACAGTGGGCCATAATTTAACAATTTGATATTTCCAGTCGTACAATCTTGCTGTGGGTTCAGTTATGAGCTGATTTCTTGACGAAAGAATCTAGGTTGTTTTCTGGTGTGTGGAAATGGTATTAATGGAAGTTCAACAAAGCAAGAACCTTGTTTTCTTGATGAGATTTGTCTTCTTATCTGACAGCATGGTTTTGCAAGAAACATGAGCTGGTCTATTGCTGACTCTGATAATGTTGAAGGGGATCCTATCATAACCTTGGAACTAAGGGATGACCCTTACAGTCGCTCGATGTGGGATTTCAGCTTTCAGACTTTGTACAAGGTCAGCTTGCTTATCATCTGTGCAAGTGTTTTGTTGTTTACACTATATTCTGACTATTGATTTTATCACAGAACATTGTGAACTAGACTCTGGTTGGAACTTTTACACAGAATAATAATTTAACAAACCTCACAACATGGATCATACAGAAGAGTGACAAGAATCAGTAAGATTTTAGATTGAACAAGGTTTTATCCATTCCCTAGGAATGGGTGCAAACATAGGTATTCAGTTGTGTTGATATTTAATTTATAATTTAATGCTTGTCAATCCTGGACATTCTTTTCTTTTCATTTACACATGTATGGATTTAATATGTATGCATCTATTTATTAATAATACTGATGATTGTTTTTGATTTGGTTTATTATGTCTTTCCCTGTTGCATTCCCTTACTGCTTATTGGCATTTCATTATAAATTTGCCATATATGTATTTCTTTAATGTGTATGTATGAGTTCAATGTGGATACAATAGTGCATAGAAGCTATTAATGGTAACTTTACTAGGGAATTTTTACACAAGAAGATTGACATTGTGGGCAATATGAAAACCTGCCGTTGGAGACATTATCTAGATGGAAGCAAAATAATAATTCTGAATTTCTGATACAAGTCTAGATATTACCAAGTATTTGGATTAACTGTCAACTAGTTTTGCCAATCATAAATGTAGCCTTGGCAAAGTCCATATGGTGGACAGCATGGAAAGTTTGGCAAAATTTATTTTTGAAAAGTGTCCTGTAAGCTAGCCATTTGAAAGATCAAAATAGACATTTGAAGGAAGAATGCTCTATTGTTGTGATAGGTGGGTTTTTATTATTTGAAAATTTGTCTGTTTCTGGTTTTGAAACCTTCGTGTGCTTTTTTCTCCTTTTTTATCATCCTTATTTCCTATATATAACTTGTTTTTATGATGTTTGACAATGTTACACAGGTCAAGCTACACTCTAATAGTTTGTCAACGGTGCTAACTGTTACCAACACGGACAAGAAACCTTTTTCATTTACCACTGCGCTGCATACCTATTTCCGTGTAAGAATGAAAATAATACCCTCCTAATTGATGCTAGTATTTTTTCTTTTTCTCCAAGCTCCCAGGCATCATTTATCATGTGTACAATGTATGCCATCCACATTATACAAGTGACAATTGATCATTGGGCAGGCTTCTATAGCAGGAGTATCAGTGAAAGGTCTAAAGGGTTGTAAGACTCTGAACAAGGACCCAGATCCTTCTAATCCTTTGGAGGGTAAGGAGGGGAGGTTTGTATGCTTACCAATTGATGCAAGTAATGCTAATCAAAATGTATAAGAAACAGTATGTCCTACGTATGCGAGCATGTAACCAATGCAACAAAAATTTATTGATTGCTTATATTCTGATCAATTTTGTTTTAATTCAGGGAAGTCATAACTTTTCCGGGGTTCGTTGATTGCATTTACCTTGATGCACCCAAAGAGATATTCCTTGACAATGGAATTGGTGATGTAATAAATATACAAAACAGCAAGTATGAAATCTGTCCTTGTTTCGGCATCTCTTGTAGATCACCAGCTCTTGGACATTCTCTTAAGCTCTGCTTACCATTCTTGTGACCATTATTGCCCATGCAGTTGGTCAGATGCGGTTCTGTGGAATCCGTATATGCAGATGGAATCCTGCTTCAAAGATTTTGTTTGCGTGGAAAATGCCAAGGTATTGACACCTTATTATCTTGTGACCAGTATAAGATATTACGAGCATTCTGATCTTTGTTTCTTCGTATGTCAGATTGGACAAGTCCATCTAGAGCCTGCGCAATCATGGACTGCAGAGCAGAAAATTGCCATTAGCTGAAGCTGATTTCTTTTTCTCAGTTGAATAACTGAAGAACATCATTTCAAATATCCAATATCGTTTATGATCATCGTTCTTTGTATATGAACTTTTATCTGATGTAGGTACGGCTTGATTTGTTGTCATGTAAAGCTCTATCCAAGCAAATTTATACTCTAATTTGGTACATTCACTTGAAAGCTTGGACTTCTTTTTGGGTATTCGAAGTATGCGTGTTCATGTGCTTTCCTGCACCTCAAATGCAACAGATAAGATTCATGAACTCTTTCCTCGGCCTTTCAACAATGGTCATCCTTTACTATTCTTTGGCTCGTTCATGTGCTTCTTCGATGAATTGGCTACTTCTTTCACCAGTAATTCTTGCAGGAACCATTGCCATTTAGGAAAGTGTGGATGATGCTTGCCGACGAGGCAATCACAGCATCCTGGTGGGATTCCTGACGGTTCGGATCGTTGTTCCTGCACAACGACGATGAATCCAAATGCCATCGGTTTGTCTCTCTTCTTCATCCTCCAATTCCCATCCCAGCGATCTCGGACAACTGGCCATGAATGTTTCATCATTTAAAGCGGATAATTCCTTATGAGTCTACGGGCTGCATTAATGATCAACCGATCAAATTGTCTCTTATCATATTGACGCTAGAAGGAGGGTTCGAGACCTGTACCTCGGTCGAGCAAACTTGCTCTTAAGCCATGCACCTTGACTATAAGCTTTTGGCTCCCCTACGGGAGGGAACACTGATAAGATTATTTAGTCTTTATATTGATTAATGAGGGTTTTCCTTAGTCTCAGAGGTGTCTTTTGGAATACACATGGAAAAGGATAAAATCGTGTCGTCCAATTTCTCGTGAGCCTACGGTTCGCACCAATGGTTGACCTACCGAATTGTCCCTTATCAGGTATTGTTATAGATTCTGGTTCTTATGAAATTTATTATAAATTTGATGTCCATCGATGAAATTTCATAAAAATTATATGTTCGACAAAAGTTTTTTCAATTCTTAAATTAATATCATAAGATCGAAGGATTTGAAGAATTCAAAAAGCTGAGACTTAAGATTAATATCAAAATAACAAATATTTTATTATGCAAAAATATATTTATATCCAATTCTTTATATTTATATATTATTATTAATTGTTCTAATTATTATTTAGGCGGCAGAGTCATCTCCCTTGAATACCAACCTCATAAAACCAGGGCAAGGTGGTAGCAATCCTGGCTCCAGACAGGAGGTCGATGGTCCTGAGAGGCGCCTTCTCCCACCTGTGATGGTCCACAGCAGTGATTCGAACAAAGGTATTAATGGTGTGTTCGATCATGTCCTTTCGAAAGACTACGTCAGGAGACAGCATTGATGAATGATGCTCGATTCAGTGGACGAGCATAATATACAATTGATATAAGATGATGGCTGATGCAAGTGTTGGCACATCTCTTGATCATTTCAATATGCACTGAACAGAGAACTAAGTACAGGATTTGGTAGATGTGATGATGCATCTCGGCCACCAGAGGGTTCCTTGTTCCTGCTGCACTTTATGGCCGGCTTATGACAGAATCCACGGGGAGAAGTCCATCTGCTATCATCACAGACCACAAGGCAAGTGAGCAGTTTCTCTCTCCCTCTCTCTCTCTCTCTTGGCACCAAAAGTTGCAGCTTTCCTATGTATCCATTTGTATAATACGACTCTTCTACGACTTCTGAATCAGATGTCAGGTTTGAGGTTCCATCTAAGCTATAAATTGTCACTGTCAGCACATACGTACAAACCCATGCAATCTGGTGGAGAATAAGATTTGGAGTTCACATCAACCCTGAAAGGAATGTATTGGTGTACTTGTCGTCTATATGTCTCGGGCCAGCGAGATGCTTCATCATCCTCGAAGTGACGGTCTACCCAAAAGCTTTGCACTCGAAAGCTTGAAGTCGAAGAGAGGGTGGGAAGCACAGGAGCTCTACCACCACCGTGTTCTTGTGCTGCTGCGCCTAGCCAAGAGAGGGTGAGAACCGCATGCACCAAAAGGAGGCTTCTATTGATCATTTCATCGAACACCTCTTGCATTCATCTTGAAACTACCCAGAGAGAAGGCATTGCCAAGAACTGCACACAGGTATGAAGAATGACCAAGAATCTACGAGATGACAAACCAATTCCATCTGATATCTTGCTGCCGGTGACGGAATGGTCTGGTGCAGCAGAGCTATCGAAGATGAACTCCACTAAAGATTTGCTTCCTAATTTTTTCCTCCTGACGACACAGTTGTTTGGTGCAGCACATCCATCAGAGACCTACTCCATCACAAAGTAACTCCAAACGTTGGCTGACTTCCCTGTCCATCTGCTTGTCTCATCGGAGAGAAAGAAGGAAATAAAGCAACGTGCATTGATGTCGATGGTCGGCATGGAAGAAGAAGACTTCATTGCGAGGAGGTACTTGATGCTCAGAGTGCGGGCAAAAGAGCCAAATCACGTAACAAACATGCGATGAACAGTGAGGAACGCTTATTCCCGACAGCTACTTGACATCTGGAAATGTTGTAGGCAACCAAAATCCAGTGAGGCACAGATGTAAAAGCAAACACCATCAATCTTCGTCATCTTCTTTCCACGATCTGTGCTACAAACATTCAGTCAACCACATGGAATTTTAATGTATATACAAAAACTCAACCTCACCAGTGATACAGTCATGCAGGTCTGACTACTTATTATCATCATGACAAAGACGTAACTTAATAGAGTTGCTAACCTGGATGAACAAAAAACAATGATGTTGATCCCAGATCCAGGAAGGCGTACTAAAATACCCAAGGATTTATGAGAAAGCAAAAAATGGCCAACTAAGTGATCAAGCATTCTTTATATCCAACATAAACTGGCCACTAACCTTCAGATGCACGAATTCTGCCATGCCATGATCCAGACTAGTTTATTGTGGGCCACTTTCCTCTTCCTCTTTCCTCCTCGATGCCCGGGCGACTAATAAAGTATAAAGGAACAAAATTATACGTCAGCCGCAAAGACCAAAACGCACAACCTAATAGTCTTCTTTGCCTTTGATTACCCGATAGCTTCTCTTACCTACTAAATTCGAATTGGAATAGGTCTTATTTTTTTATGCATTCCGATTTGGATTTTATGTGGTTTCATTTTTCTATTCAATGTTGATTTTGGGTCTCGCGTGGATTATTTTTTTAGTTCCGATTTTGGCCTGTCGTCCCTTATGGAATTACATGTCTGGGCCTCTAAAATTTAATATGGATTATATCTAAAATATTTATTGTTTTCATTCAATTATTTGATTAATGTTTTTTTTTTTTATCGATTTTAGTTGTGAGATGATTATTATCCTTAATAAAGTTTAACCTCGGAGAGACAAAAGGCAATTTGGTCTTAAAAATAAAATAAAACAATAAGATTAATAATTAGGAGGTGTGTGCCACGTACTACCTGCTGTTAATTCGTGGGGCCCATAACTTTCCCTCTTTTCTAAAAACAGGTCCCCCATTTCAAAAATATTTTGACCTAAAACTCCCCTCCGTGGCCAAAAATTAATGATAAAAAGGACCGGAAAGCAAGTCCTCGCCATATGCTCCACTGTCACCGCACGGGTCGACGCCCACTTCTCCCTAGAAATTTTCGTCCCCGCGGCTTGATCGGACGAGCAGAAGACGACGACGAAAAGCCCAAGACTCCATCGAGAAACCCTGATCTAATCGCGAGGCCTACTCTCCATCGCCGCTATGGAGGCGCAGCGCGTCTCCAAGAAGGCCGCCTTGGGGGGGGCGGCGGCGTCGTCCGCCTTCGACGACGTCTTCGGCGGGCCGCCCAAGTTCCTGGCTCCCTTCTCCGCCCGCATGCACGACTACGCCGAGATCTTCGGCGCCGCTGCGAGCGCCTGCAGCATCCCCTTCCTCGACCTCCCGCCGGCGATGGACGGCTTCGATGGTGAACCCGCTGCGCCCCGGAGGAGCTCCGGGTTCGACTACTTCGAGGTCTTCGGGGGTCTGGACTTTGGGGAGCTTGCTGTCTCCTACGAGGAGTTGTTCGCCGTGCCGAGGAGGGTGGAGGTTGGCGCTTCGGGTGGCAGGTAAGGTTTTGGAAGCCCTCGTGTCGTTTGATCCTTCGTTTGTTGCTAGTCCGGCTTTTCGAGTAACATTTCTCGACGGTTTGTGGGAAACGTTTTCCTTTTTTGTTCTCTAATGGTTCCTTTTGCCTCTAAAACTGAAGGCGAAGGCAAATAAGTGTATGAAGTTTTTTACTTGCACTACACAACGGAATGGCTGTGAGAGTAATGTTACACAAATATGAGATGGTAGTAGGAGGCACGTCAGGGCATAAAATTTTCTTTAGTTTAAAGTGGATTGTTTGGTAGCCTTTTCCAGAGGTTTTATCCCTCTCTTTCCAGGTGACACTAGTCCTTTAATATTGAATTAATAATTATTTGGACAAGAAGATCATTCTTGGATCGTAGCAGAGTGCTGGATCAATCTTGGTGAATAAAGTTCTGGTCACGCTTTGCACTGCAGTATATGGCTGTTATATGTTACTTGGCAGCCTTTTAAACTGACGAAAGAAAAATGTGGCTTGCCACTAATCTTAGCAAAAATATATCTCTTTTTGTGGATCAATGCTTATAGCGTAGTCTTTATAGCTCATTGATGGAGCCTGACGGCCTTTGGAGCTCCTGTGTTTGAATTGTATTACTGGTTTTTTGAGAGTTTAAAATATATATACTGTTAGTGAGAGCTTCCCTTTGTGTAGTCAAAAGCTTAGATAAAACTTTGGATTCCAGTGGAAACTGGAGTCATTTCTAAATTTAAAGGGTTTGAATTTAAGAATGTCCTATGTCTAAACACCTTCTCACAGGCTTCCAAATGCTAAAATGCTGAACTCTGAATGATCTTGAATTTTCAGCTCTGTACTAAATTTTTCATCATGACAAGGCAGTGAAGCAACAAATGATACTACAGAAATAAAAGACATCAAAAGTAGCCATTTTGCTTCTGTGGATGTGATCCTCTCACGTTTATTTCTGTAATTTTTTTTTTTCAACTTTGGGTTCTCAAAAGTCTTTTAAGACTTCTTTCTGTGAATTATTAAACCATCATACCTCAAAAAAATTGATCATCGATGACTATTTTGCCTGTTATTTCATCACTAACAGGGCCCTGGATGATCCTGCCATTA